CAACAATGATTGCCACAGTACATCGACAGGGAACTGCCAGATATTCAGGCCGGATTCAGAAGAGGATGTGGAACAGGGGTTATCATTGCTGATGCCAGATGGATCTTGACTCAAAGCAGAGGATACCAGAAAGATGTTTACTTGTGTTTCATTAACTATGCAAAGACACTCGACTGTTTGAGCCATAAGAAACGATGGCTAACATTGAGAAGAATAGGAATTCTGGAACACTTCATTGTGCTCTTTCAGAATTTGTACATGGATCAAGTTGGCAGTTGTGCAAGCAGAACAAGGGAATTCTGCATGGTTTAAAATCAGGAAAGGTGCACATTAGGGTTGTATCCTCCCACCAAACTTGTTCAATCTGTATGCTGAGCAAATCACCAGAGAAGCTGGATTATGTGAAGAAGATTGTAGCATCAGGATTAGAGAAAGGTTTATTAACAACCTGGAATATGCAGATGACACAACATGGCTTGCTGTAAGTGACGAGGCCTTGAAGCACTTGCCGATCAAGGTCAAGGACTGTAGTCTTCAGTATGGATTACACCTCAATGTAAGGAAGACGAAAACCTCACAATTAGACTAATGGGCAATATCATGGTAAATGGAGAAAAGGTTGAAGTTGTCAAGATTTTTGTCTTGCTTGGATCCACAATCAATGCTCATGGAAGCAGCCGTCAAGAGATCAAAAGACATACTGCATTACGTATATCTGCTGCACGAGACCTCTTTAGAGTACTGAAGAGCAAGGATGTCACTTTGTGGACTAAGGTGTGCTTGGCCCAAGCCATAGTTTTCTCCCGTACCTCATATGCATGTGGAAGTTGGACACGGAATAAGGAAGACTGACGAAGAATCGATGCCTTTGAATTGTGGTGCTGGTGAAGACTACTGAGAGGACCACGGACTGCTAAAAGGACAGACCGATCTGCCTTGGAAGAAGTACGGCCAGAATGTTCCTGAGAGGCAAGGATGGTGAGACTTTGTCTTACATGCTTTGGACATATTGTCAGGAGATACCAGTTGGCGGAGAAGGACATCGTGTTTGGTAAAGTGGAGGGGCAGCGAAAAAGAGGAAGGCTCTCAACAAGATGGATGGACACAGTGGCTGCATCAATGGGCTCAAGCACAGGAAGACTTGTAAGGATGGCAAATGTGTTTCTTTCTGTTGGGCACAGGGTTGCTATGGATCAGAGAAAACTCAATGGCACTGAATAACAACAATAACAGTAAGAAAAATGGACTTAGTATGTTTTTGAGTCCATTACTTGCGCCCAAATTAATAGGATCACCACTTGTCAGCAGGATGTTGTACTTGGTGGCTTGCATGTAACTGTGATGCTAGAAGGTAAGCTGATGGTTTTTCAGCATCACTTAGGGTGGGCACATTTCAGTGGAGACATATTTCCAGACTGAAACAGACTAGGAAGAAAGGCCTGGTGACTGAGTTCTGAAATTTATCCAGCGAAAAATCCTATGGATCAAAATAGAACACTGCTCATATAATGTTAGAAAGGTAGACCTCTAGGTTCCAAGGTCCTCAAGATACACAGTAGCTGCAACAATGGACTTCAGCATACTAAAGACCAGGCACATGACAGCGTTTGGCAATGAACTGACAGGTGAAGGATGAGAGAAGTCAAGGTGACTCCTGGGTTACTAAACCAAGGGCTCAGGAGAACGAAGGTTCCTTTGATTGAGCTGAGGAAGGAGAAACCTGGACGAATCATTAAAACCAACAATTTGCTTCTGGGCACACGAAGATGTCTAGGAGGAACAAGTCCATCTTCCTTGTCATGTTGTTAGCTGCTGCTAAGTTGGCTCACCCCTCACGGTGACCACATGCCCATTAGGATGAAACTGCCCAGTCCTGTATCAATTCCCATCGTCGGATGTAGGTTGTAAAGTAGTGATCCATGGTGTTTTGTTGGCAATCCCCCGTAGGAGCTCATCTGGTCTTCCTTCTTAGGCTGTCTTAGTCTGGAAATTCTGCTGAAATCTGCTCAGCATCGTGGCAACATAGAAGCCTTTACGGATGGGCAGCGGCTGCGCATGAGCTGCCTTGGGTGAGGATGCAACCCTGGCTGCCTGTATGGATAAGAATTCTACCACTGTGCCACCAATATAGTACCCCCATTCCATGTCATGTGGCCAGGTTGGATTGTCAGCCTGGGGTTGAGAAGAGATGTGCAGGTTGGGTATATACATTTGAGAGTTTTCAGGATATGTAATCATTGAAAGCCATCGAGTGGAGAAGACCACCAGGGGAATGAGGGTAGGAGAGAAGAGGTTTATGGGTCAGCTTTGATCTCTTCAATATGGACAGGAAGCCCCTATAAAGGTGACTCAGCAGTCATCAACCATGTAAGGCCCATGGGTCAAATCCAAATCCATTCAATTGCTTGAGTTTTTAAAAAAATAAAAGTTTTATTGGAACACAGCCGCACCCATTCATTTACGTGATGTCTGTGACTGCTTGCATATTGAAGGGGCCGATGGACACCTCCAAGTCACGATGAGTCAAAATCGACTCAGTGGCAGCGAGTTTATCTGAAATCTAAAGCCTCGGATAATGCCAAGAGTTTTTGTTCACCTGGCAACCGGAAGGTTGAAAATTTCAACCCACCCAGTGACACTGTGGAAGAAAAGGCCTGCTGAGCTACTTATGGTAAAGATCCCAGCAGAGTTCCACTCGGTAACCGATGGGAGCTCCGTGAATCGGAATCTTTCAATATTGCAACTTGAGGCTTGAATTTTTTCTTGAGTTCTTTTAGGCTAAGATCTGCTGAGTGTGTTCTTCCTTTTTAGTTTTCTAACTCTAAGTCTTTGTGATTTTCAAGATAATATTTCACTTGCCTTTTGTGCTGTCCTTTGAAACTTTCTGTTCTGCTCATTGACTTCATCATTGCTTCCATTTGTTCTAGCTACTCTATGATTAAGAGCTGACATCTTTGATTTTTTCTTTCTTTCATTTAAAAAAATTATCTTTTGCTTTCATCACGTAGAATGTTCTTGATGTCATCCCACAGGTCACCAGGTCTTCTGTCATTCGTGTTCAAGACAGCAACTCTGCTCTTCAGATGTCCTTGAAATTCAGGTGGGATGGACTCAGGGTCATATTTGGTCTCTCCTGGACTTGTTTTAATTTTCTTCACCTTCAAACTGAACTTACATATGAGCAATTGGTCTGTTCCACAATCAGTTCCTGGCTTAGCTTTAGCTGATAATATTGAGCTTCTCCATAGTTTCTTCGACATGTTTAGTCAATTTGATTTCCGTGTAATCCATCTGGAGAAGTCCACATGTCAAGGAGCCTTTAAAATCTTCAGTCTTGCAAAAGTCTATCATGCCATCTCTGGCTTTATTTCTATCACCAAGGCCATTTAAAAAATCATCTTATTGGGGGCTCATACAGCTCTTATCACAATCCATCCATCCATCCATTGTGTTAAGCATATTTGGACATTTGTTGCTATAATCATTTCCAAAACATTTTCTTTCTACTTGAGCCCTTGGTATCAGCTCCTCATTTTTTTCTCACCCTCTCTCATGCTCCCTCCCTCACAAACCCTTGATAATTTATAAATTACTATTATTTTTTTGTTTCTTACACTGACCGATGTCTCCCTTCACCCACTTTTCTGTGGTCTGTCCCCCAGGGAGGGGGTTATATGTAGATCATTGTGATTGGTTCCCCCTGTCTCCCCGCACCTTCCCCGTCCCCTTTTGGTATTGCTACTTTCAATGTTGGTCCTGAGGGGTTTATCTGTTCCGGACTCCCTGTGTTTCCAGCTCTTGTCTGTACCCGTGTACATGCTCTGGTCTGCTGGATTTCTAAGGTAGAATTTGGACCATGATAGTGGAGGTGAGAAACCATTAAAGAACAAGAGGAAGGTTGTATGTTTCAGCAGTGTTATACTGCACCCTGACTGGCTC